CACTACAACCGCCACGTCCCCCATCCTGAGCAAAAACTGCCACCCAGGTATCCTCGCCCCCTGGTACGAACTGCTATACGATATCTCACCCCCGATTGGAGCTTCCACCCAAAATGAAATCTCCCCCGCAGGTCAGAGCTGCCACCGGAAAGGTCCTCACCACACTTGCTGAGACTTCCATTTTGATACTCACGAAGCCTCGTCTCTATCAGGGAGGTGTAGTGACCGAAACTGGCCCCCGATGCTTGTCCGAACGTTGGTCACCATTTTGGCCACGCAACGTGTTCGGCCACATTTTCAGACACGCGTTCGGTCACCGATGTTGTCGGTCCCATATTCAGCTGACAGGGGCGGGGCACCATGACAATACCCTCACGCCACCCGCGATGAAAACTGACAGATTCCCCGCCCAGTGAAAAGGCACGACCAAAACATCCTCACCCAGAGCCCCTCTAGATAGGGGTCCGATCGCGCCGCATCGCCGATGGATCGGCGATGTATCGGCAATGCATCTGCATCTGCGTCGGCGATGCATGCTCCACATGGAGCCGCGTCGCCGACGCATCGAGCCTCCGACCCCATCTAGTCGGACTCGGATGCCGATAGGGGGGGCGGAACTGGTTGGGACCCCAGGAAATCAGTTAGGAGGGGGGTTGAGCCGGGATCCATCTGGTGCAGTTCTTCACCCTGGATCTGTTTCTGACGGCCACGGGGCCCGAAAACGGCCCCCAGGGGCGAAAGGGACAGTTAGCCTGGCGAAGGACCCTTACATGTGCAGTTGTGAGTGCCGCAGTTGCGGCTATGGGCCACGAAACGCTTTACGGGTGGGGGAGACGCATGCGAGCTTTGCCACCAGGGCCTTCGGTGGAGCTCCCTATGGGGCCACGCAACGATGTGCAGGGTGGGGGGGACGATGTGGACAAAGCCACTGGGGCCTTAGGTGGAGCTCCCTATGGGGCCCCATGGAGCTCCCTATGGGGCCAGGGAAAACTGTGCTGGTTGGGGAGGACGCATGTGGACCCCGCCAGTGCGCCACTGGGGCCTTAGATGGAGCTCCCTGCGGGGCCACGAATCGCTGTGCTGGGCGGGGGAGACAGAGGCAGGGAAGGGAGCAGGGAGGAGGAGGAAGAAGGGGTGAGACGCGGGGCGCTGTCTTTTCAAAACGAAGACCCAACACCACAGGATGGCTGGGAAAAACGCTTCCCGAACCTAGAACCTCGAGCCGGCCCGCCTTTCCTGCTAGCTGGAACCAGTGCTGGGCCACCTCGGTCCCCCAGACGCCTACAAACTCGGACCCCATCTGAGCGACGATCAAAAACGGGTCTTACGCGAGACATAGCGACCTTTCGCGGCGGCTGACGCGGGCCGCAGGCGCGGCACGCCACGCTGGAAGCGAGGGCGCTCACGCGCGACCTTACGCGGGCAGCTTACGCGCCAGCGTCGGCGAGGACGACCCTGCTGATTCTGCGCTGCTCAGCCGGGGGCCCCACACCTAGACATGCGACGTCCTGATGTTCTCAGGACGCCGTCCCCGGAAGCCCCGACCCGTTCCCCGGGACCGGCGCTGCGTTCCCAGTGAGCTCTTGAGGGCCCCGGGGCCCGGCGAGGGCCCCCGGAGGCCGAACATGGTGAAGCACTTACCGTCCTGACTTTTTCACGACGCGACCAGGTCTGGGCAGAGCATCCCCCCGAGCAGAAGCTGCCGCACCCCCGCCCCCTCGAGGCAGGCCGGCCGGGGCCGCCGGGCCGCGCCGACGGGCGGGAGCGGGCGCCCGCGGGCGCCTTGGACAGCGCCCCGGCGTCGCGGGCCCTCTCCTCGGCGGCGGGGGGGCCCGAGGGCTAGGATGTTCCCAGGCCTACTTGCAGCCTCGATCACCAGAGAGAACTTGGAGCACCAAGAAGGTGCCGAAGCTGGGGGGGTTTGACGCGTCGGGCCCCGGGAGGTGGTACTCGTTCGGCACTGCCTTGATGCACTCCTGGGTGCTCGCAAGCAGTTTGGGGATGTGGTCCTGTAAGTACGATGGGAGGCAACATGAAAACGAGGGGGGGCACCCAGATCTCTCTGGCGGCATGGAGCGCGCTGTTCTAGAATTCGCGATGACGGCCGTGACCAGGGATGCTAGCCCCCCCTCCCCCCCGCGCCTCGTCTCCGCCTGCGCGCCTCCGTCGTCTCCGTCGCCGTCGTCGTTGTCGTCAGAGCCGTCGCGGTCGTGGTGCGTGCTGCTCTGCTCGGGGCTCGTTTCCCTTATGCAGTGACCACCACCACCACCACCACCACCTCCTCCTCCTCCCCACCCCGCCTGGTGATGTCGCGCTTCGCGCTGGCGCCGTTTGGGAACTGCCAACTCGCAGACGGCGCGGGCGCGAAGCGTGACGCTGCCAGCCCCCTCGCCCCCCCTCACCCCCCAAAGTAATGGCCGTGATCGCCAGGGGGTACAAAAAAGGGCCCATGATTCTTTCAACACAGGCCCATGATTCCTTCAGCCCATGATTCTTACAGCCCGGGGAGAAAATTGACCCCGCGCGGAGAACTTCTTTGTAAGTAAGAAGGAGAACGAGCATCCCAGCGAGGGCCATTCTGGCCCCTGTGGGGGCGGGGGAGGGCGCACTCAACCACCCGCGCAAGGGTGGGCCGGCCCCAGCGCGCCGCCGCCATGGCGGCGCGCGTGACCAGCTGACGAACTGCAAGCCAACAAGAAGGATGTCATCCAGCAGCTGACGAACTGCAAGCTGAGGAAGGTCATCCACCAGCTGCCGAACTACGAGCTAGCCATCTACAACATGGGCTCTGAGACGTCCCCACCTCGTCGGAAACTACCGACAAGATAACGAGACCATACTCGAATGGAAGAGTAAGAACGGATGCAGCTCTCAAGAGAGCGGGCTACCTTATCGGACACGGGCTACAACCACACCTCAACGACATCATGGCAATCGCGACGACCGGCTTCATGATGGCGTCCGATACAGGACGGGATGAGCTGCGTAACGTGCAGACTGAGGAAGAGCTGCGTAACATGCAGCCCGAGAAAGAGCTGCGTAACAGGCAGCCCAAGTACGGTACGCCACCAAGGCCGACGCCAGGGAAGACACGACCGAGCAGCCCGAAAGGGTTACTGAGCACGTCGTCCTGGAGGTACCAGTGGACAACGGCCGCGCCGCCTACGACGAGCATGACTACGGCCGCGCCGCCTGCGACGAGTACCATTACGACAGCGTGTTCGGCAACGACCTGAACTCCTACGACTCCCAGCACTAACCCCCCCCCCTCTTGGAAACGGTCCTCGGTCCTCTGGTACGACAGTGTGTTCGGCAACGACCTGAACTCCTACGACTCCCAGCACGAACCCCCCCCCCTCTTGGAAACGGTCCTCGGTCCTCCGGTGGAGTCCGGGGTGCCCCGTGCTGTCCGCATCAGGGGCCCGCGCGCGAAGACGCGGTCGCGCGCGGGCGCGGAGAGGACACCGCCAGTGCGGCTGCAAGAGAGAGGAGGGGCAGTAGGAGAGAGAGGGGGAACATGAGGAGGAGGGGGAGGAGGAGGAGGAGGAGGAGGAGGAGGAGGAGGAGGAGGGGGAGGAGGAGGCGGGGGGAGGTGTTTGAGGAGGAGGAGGAGGGAGAGAGAGAGAGAGAGAGAGAGAGAGAGAGAGCACCTCACCGATTGCATCCACAGGCGGCGCATAAGCGATGCTGTGTGAGACGGGCGGGATGCACAAATCCGACTCCGAGGCAGGCACGGAGCGATCCAGTGCGATAAAAACTGCCCAATGGATAGATCATCCGGGAAGTCTTGGCTTCGTGTTCCCCCTCCTCCTCCTCCTCCTCCTCCTCCTCCTCCTCCTCATCCTCCTCATCCTCCTCCTCCTGATCATCATCATCATCATCATCATCATCATCATCATCATCATCATCATCATCATCATCAGCAGCAGCAGCAGCAGCAGCAGTATCATCACCACCACCACCACCACCATCATCATCATCATCATCATCAGCTGCAGCAGCATCATCATCATCATCACCACCACCACCTCCACCATCATCATCATCATCATCATCATCATCATCATCATCATCAACATCATCATCAGCATCATCATCATCATCATCGTCATCGTCATCGTCATCGTCATCAGCATCATCATCAGCATCATCATCATCATGATCATCATCATCATCATCATCATCATCATCATCATCATCATCATACTATTCGTCATCATAGTGATCGTCATCATCGTCCTCAGCATCATCATCATCATCATCATCATCATCATCATCATCATCATCATCATCATCATCATCATAATATTCATCATCAGCAGCAGCAGCATCATCAGAATTCTCATCCTCAACATCCTCATCATCATCATCAGCAGCAGAATCATCAGCACCATCATCATCAGCAGCAGCAGCATCATCGTCATCATCGTCATCATCATCATCATCATCCTCATCCTCATCCCCATCATCATCGTCAGAATCATCATCATCATCAAAATCATCGTCATCATCATCATCAGCAGCATCATCATCAGCAGCATCATCGTCATTAGCATCATCATCATCATCAGCAGCATCATCATTATCACCATCATCATCGTTATCATCATCATCAGCATCATCATCATCCTCATCATCATCATCATCAACAACAACATCAGCATCATCATCAGCATCATCATCATCACCATCATCTTCTTCATCAGCATCATCATCATCACCATCATCTTCTTCTTCTTCTTCTTCATCATCATCATCATCATCATCATCATCATCATCATCATCATCTTCTTCATCAGCATCATCATCATCATCATCAT